ATGTTTAACTAATGTTTTGGAGTTCTTTGAAGAACCTGTGCTGTGGATAAACGAAAACCAATAGATGTAATATACTTGGATTTCCAGAAGGCATTTGATAAGGGGCCTCATCAAAGGTAATTGCAAGGAATAAAATCTCATTGTGTTGGAGGCAACATGCTGGCATGGATAGAGGAGTGGCTGGTTAACAAAGCAGAAAGTAAAACTCAATGGGTCTTTTTCAGGCCAGCAGGATGTCACGACTGGTGTGCACAGTGGTCAGTGCCGAGACCTCAACTCTTCACTACTTATACAAATAATTTGGATGAAGGCTTAAAAGGTATGGCAGGTAAATTTGCTGTGACAATATAAGGGTAAGTAGGAAACTGAATTGTGAAAAGGACATAACTTATCTGTATCCCTTTTCAGCATCCTAAGTAAGTAGGAAAAGATCTGGCAAATAGAGTACAATGTGGCAAAGTATGAAATTGTCCACTTTGGTGGAAAGAATAAAAAAGAAACATATTATCTAAATGATGAGAGGTTGTAGAGCTCTCAGATGCAGAGGGATTTGGTGTCCTAGTGCATGAACTGCAGAAGGTTATGTTCCAAGTACAACAAATAATCAAGAAGGCTATACTTCAGATATACAGGACATTGATGAGATTGTTTCCTGGTGTACTGTATACAGCACTGCTCACCACACTTACAGAAGGATGTTAATGCATTGGAAGCAGTTCAGAGAAGGTTTACATCATTAATACCTGGAAGGAGTGGATTGCCTTATGAAGAAAGGATAGACAGGCTAGGTCTGTACCCTCTGGAGTTTATAAGAGACAGAGGTGACTTAATTGAAACAAGAAAGATCATGAGGGGACTTACCTGTCTAGATGTGGAAAAGATGACCTCTGGTGGATGAATATCCTTTTGTGGGAGAATGTGGACAAGGTGTCACAGTTTAAAATAAGGGGTCACTCATTTAAGATGATGAGGAGAAAAACATTTTCTCAGAGGGTTAAGAGTCTTTGGAATTCCTTTCCTCAAAAGACAATGCAGAATCTTTAAATATTTGGAAGGAAGAGGTAGATAGATTCTTGATTTCCAAGGGGATGAAAGATTATTGGGATATGTAGAGTTTAGGTAAAAATCAGGTCAGCCATAATCTTATTGAATGGTGGTGCAGGCTCGAGTGGTCTACTCGTGTTCCTTACTCTTATGAAGCCTCAGTTTAATGCCTCATCTGAAAAATGGCACCTCTGACAATGTAGCACTCCTTCAGCACTGATGCACTGGTAGGATCAGTCTGGATTACATGATCAAATCTCTGGAATAAATGAACTCACAACCTTTCTACCCGAATGATAGAACAGGATCACAGTGGTAATTTGTGTGTGAAGCAAGACGATAAATATTTTGTGTTGGTGCTCACTAGTCAGAGGGATGATGTAGATATAGAAATCAGGGAGAAGGACTGTGATACACTTAAAGAAATTAGCATAGACAGAGAAGAGGTTCTGGGTGTAGTCTGGCAGACATAAAGGAAGATAAATCCCCAGGGTTGTATGAAATATATCCCAGGTTAATGAGTGAGGCAAGGGAGGAAATAGTAGTGGTTGCAAATAATTTTCAATTCCTCACTGGCCACTAGAGAGGTTCCAGTAGACTTCCAGGCTGCCAGTGTGGTACCTTTATTCTAGAAGGGAGCAAGGGATAAACCAAAAAACTATAAGCTAGTCAGTCTAACCTCAATGGTGGAGAAAACTGTTGGAAGCGATTCTGAGAGACAAAATTAATCTGCACTTGGAGAGGCAGGGATTAATCAAGAACATTCAGCATGGTTTTGTAAAGGGGAGGCCATTTCTGACCAACTTGATTGAATTTTTTGAAAAATATAACCACGTGTTGGTGAGGGCAATGCATTTGATATAGTCTACTTGGACTTCAGCAAGGCTTTTGATAAGGTTCCACACAAACTGATAGCGAAGGTAACAGCACACAGAATCCAAACAAATTTGGCAACTTTGACCCAGAATTGACTGAGTGGCAAGAAGCAGAGGCTGATGGTCATGGGGTGTTTGTTGTGATTGGAAGCCTGGGTCCAGTGCAGTTCTGTAGTGATCAGTGTTGAGGCCCTTGCTGCTTATGGTTTATAAAAATGACTTAGACGTGAATATAAGAGGGTTGATCAGGAAGTTCACGAATGATATAAAAATTGATGGTAAAAAATGAGGAGGACAACTTTAGATTATAGAAGGATATAGAGGGGCTGGTCAGATGGGCTGTTCAGTGGAAAATGCAATTCAATCCAAGTAAGTATGAAGTGATGTGCTTGGGCAGGACCAACAAGGTAAGGGAATAAATGATGAATGGTAGGCCCCTGAGAAGCACTGACAATCAGAGGGACATTGGTATGCATGTTCACCTTGTCCCTTAAGGAATAGCACAGACAAAGTGGTTAAGAAGGCATATGGGATACTTGCCTTTATTAGCTGAGCTTAGAATTTAAGAGCAGGGAGATTATGCTGAAACTATATAAAAGGTTGTTTAGGCCACGACTAAGAGTATTGTATACAGTTTCACATGTGGATTCGACATTATTAGGAAATATGTGATTGTACTGGAGAGGGTACGGAGGAGATTTATCAGGATGTTGATAAGGTCATACAGTTTAGTTATGTAGAGAGATTGGATAGACGAGGGCTGTTTCCTTTGGAGCTGAAGGACAGGGGTACATGATGGAGATGCATAAAACTATGAGCAGCACAGACAGGAAAAAAAAACTTTTCCCCTTGTTGGAGGAGTCAATCGCCAGGGAACAGGAGGTTGGGCAGGGATGAAATTATTTTTACCCAGAAGGTAGTGGGAATCTGGAGTCACTGCCTGTAAGGCAACAATCTTCTGATTAGGTGAGTTTAAATTCCTTGCATCGATCACTCTTTTCACATTTTTAAAAATAAAACCCTCATTCCAGTTCATCAATAGGAAGGAACGTTTGCATTGCAACACTCTTTATATGTTTTCGTCAAATTTCAGTCAGAAACAATGCTAAAGGAGATCTTTTCTTTTCCAATTATTCTTCAAACTGATGCTCAGAATGCAGAAGCACATGGCAAACTGGGGGGACAGCAAAACTGAATGTGTTGCTTTCCAGAATTGTGCCAAACAGCTGCTCACCCATGCAGTTTCTAGAGAAAACAAACATCCGCTCAAAAGATACAGAGATATAGAGCAGAAAAACGGGTATTCATTGAAAGAAAATGGAAACCAGTTTGTCCAATGAGACTTACCATTCAGCTCCTTTGCAATGACTAGATTGACTTGGCACATTTACACACTCACTGTTTATGCACTTAGCACTTGTCATACAGTTTTCATTATTTGAATCCAAGGAAAAATATAAACAAAAATTTCATTGGCACGGAAACAGAATATTGGTTTGTATTGAGTTCCGACACACAAGTGTGTAAGTCAAACAACAATCTTCAGGATCGAGGACTTGGTTTAGCCAGAGAACATGAATGGTTGATGATCATCTTTAATTATTATGTCCTGGGATTATGTTAACACTGTGCAAACTTTTGTACAAAGGCCCAGGAAAGGAAATTGTTGGTAAGTTGTACTGAATGTGTCATTTTACATCAATTGACAGTAATAACCTAAATTACATTGATTACACTCATCGAACACTTCAGTGTGGTTTGTCTGATATGACTCGTTGCTCATTCTTAACATTGAGTATGATATTGGCGGAACAACGAAATACTCCCAACATCAGAAACCTACAATTAGAACCAGCCAATGGATTTCATGCATCCCCACTCCACCCACTTCTATGGCTAGAATCGGAGGGCTTGTGCAAGTTTAATTCAATTCAGCCCTTGGGAGACTGATGGATTCAGGTACAAACCGGTTTTATACTCTAGCATTATAATCTCTACTAATGTAATCATACTCGACAAGGGATAAAATGAGGGTTCATCCCAGACCTGGTAATGCCCCACCTGGTGAGGAAGATTAGCATTGCCCTCAGGTGTCAGAATCCATTCACCATAAGAATATGTTTGCCAGGTCTGGTTATTGACCATGTCCTGTATCCTGTGTCATAATACATGTTCTGTCTCAATGATTGTGGTTACACTCAAAGGTTAGAATTTCAGCTACAGACTAACTTCCAGATGGAGCAGCAAAAAGTTTTGGCTATTTCAGCATCTGTTTCTTTGCAGCCAACAGTAATACAGAGGTTTCTTTAAGTTATCTGCCTCATGTAAGATTTATAAAAGCATAGTGAAAGGCAAAGATTTACCCTCGCTTTAAGGGTAATCATTAAGGGTAAATTCCCATTTTGTTAATTATCAAACCACAGTGAACAGAATAGGTTGTGAGGAATTCAAACCAAGTGCTGTCAAACCCAAGGTTGTTCTTTGATCTCTTGAGGAGATTGACACATCCCAAAATGTGAAACATTGATTATGGCAGAGGAGATAGAAAGGTTCAATATCTCAAAGTATGAATCAAAGGGAGGAGGAGGCAGGTTCCTTCCTTGACTCTTTCACACAGCCTCCTACCTTCAACCCATCATTTCAACAGCAAGACTCACTCCATACATGTTAGAGAGACCATCTCTGAATCTACACTTTCTGCAGTTGTGACTCCTCGCTGGGAGCAGACGCTGGTGACAGTGATATAAGACATTCAGTACAACTTACCACAAACAGGATTTAAAGACTGCAATTTAATGTTTTGAGTTCTATTCATGTAAAATGCTCGAAGTTCACACTTGCAGTTAATATTAACATAATACTTTTGCAACATAAGAACAGGAGGAAGCCACTCGGTTTTTCAAGCTTATTCCAGCAATCGATTAAACTGTGCCTGATTAGACCATATTGATTTCTCTGTCTTGGCTCTGTAACATTAATACCCTTGCTTTAAGGGTAATAGGTTCAAACTACTTTCAAAGCATTCAATATTCATAATGGCCCTCAAGCAACACCACTGGACACCAACGATAAGAAGAAATCTGGAGTTCCATTCTATGATTTAATGGAAATGGTTAAATCTCAGTGCCACATCAGGATCTGTTTGGTTGGTTTGTAATCATTTGCACAAGAGTAACATTCAGAATTTCAGAGATCCGAGTGATGACTTCATCATTTGACACATGGTCAATGTAAAAATGCAAGTTAGAATTCAAACTTGTCCATCTGTCCGAGAGAAATACAGATATTTTTGATAGTAAGGAACAGTTCAAATCCCATCTGCCAAGGTTGGTGAGTGTACTGATCCTGTGTCACTAAGTGGTTCTTCAATGTGTTAATCGTCAGGATGCTTGTTTGCTCGGATAGAGAGAGGAATTGTATCATTGTACTCTATTCTGATCCAAGCTTAAAACCATTGACTACCAGGTTGTCAAGCGAACAGACTAGGAGCCTCACATAATTGCTGGTTATGTTTAATCACTCATATCTTACAATCCCTGTGCTCATTCTACTTTCCTTGTTCACCTGATGCCCGAAGTTTTTCAGTGGAGTGTGAAGTAGGGAATGTACAGCATAATCTGTAGTTGAGCTTCGTCAACTATTGTCGCTTTTCTTTTTTACAAGTTTTTTTTGCACATCTGTTTCCAATATATGCACTGACCGCCTCATAGCAAATACGCAGGGGTCACTCCAAGTCCTCCCACCTCCATCAATGTAGTGGTCTTGTGCTAAACATTATACTAAATGACATTACTAGAATAAGACACAATGTACGATGGCATGTTTTCAGACACATTCCATTGGTGAAACAGCCAAATGATCTGATAGATCAGCTTTTCATGGCTTGAAATAACGGCCCGAATCTGCAAAATAACTGTTTTTTGTCGTGATTTCCATCCCAAGGCTGATGACATTTGCACTGGTTGAGATGAATCCAATTTGAAAAACTAGGATTTCCATCACTGCTCTGACTCCCGTGGGAAGAAATGTTGTCAAGGCTCTTCAGAGGAGAACACTGCAGAATGGGGCTAAACCTGGAATTCAAACATGCCAGTCTGTTTCTTGGCCAGCTTTGCAACCTCCTCTCTGATAGCCTTGACCAAAGCGGCAGTGGAGATATTGGTGTAGGAGGTTTCAGAGGACTCATTCTCTGTCAAGCTCTGCTGAGACGCTGCAGTAGACAGAGTCTGAGCTTGCTCAATACAACGAGGTGGATTTGAGGGCTGCGTCTGACTGTACTGTCGATGGGGAGAGCCATGTGGATACCGAGTGTGCGAAAAGGCCTCAACATAACCAGGGAGTGTTACCTGAAGAGCAACAGAGTTGGTTATTCAGAAGTCAATTTGGAACAAAAACCAATGCGATTTAGGTTACAGTTAGACAGGAGTAATCATCTTGTCTTACAAGAAGTGCAATCAAGGTTCAACAGATACATCCCTGCGGTGAGAGGCCAATTCTATTGAAGAGAGATTGAGTCGAATGGGCCTACATTCTCTTAGAAAGTTTTGAGGTAATGAAACATTTCATATGGAATATATGGAATCCTTAAAGGCTTTAACGGGGTTGACGCTGAGAAGCTGTTTCCCTGGCTGGAGGGTAGGGAAATAGGAGCCATAGTCTCAGGACAAGGAGTTAATCATTTAGGATTAAAAAGAGGAGCAATTTATTAACTCATAATCCATAGAATTTTTCAGCCCAGAGACCTGCAAATGCTCAGTTGCTGAGTATATTCAAGTCTGAGATGGATAGAGTTTTGGTCACAAATGGAGTCAAGAGAAGTACAGATAGCTGAGAAAAGTGAAGCTGAGGTAGAAGATCAGCCATTATCTTACAGAATTCCTGAACAGGCTTCAGGGGCCAAATAGGGCCTGCAACATAAAGAAATAACGATCAAACATTGCACTGCCAAGCCAACAAGAAGGCACCTAAACATCTGCTCCCACTTCGGGTGGAAAAAGGCGGCAGGTCGAGGCTTGGAAGGATGTGCGGCAATGACGGACATTTGAAAATGTTCAGAATTTAGGTTGAATCTCTGATAGGCTCCATCCCTTCCAAGGATACTTGGCAACCTCTGAGGATGCAGAGGAAAGGTGGGGAGGGAAAATGGGTGTTCAATTTGAGGATCTGTCCAATGGTGTCTTGTGAAACTTTTGTAGCCAGCAGTATCACTATGCACAGGTAGCAACAATAGGGGAGGCGATGGCCCGGTGGTATTATCACTGGTCTATTAATCCAGAGACGCAGATAATATTCTGGGGACCCGGGTTCAAATCCCGCCATCATGGAATTTGAATTCAATAAATATCTAGAATTAAGAGTCTAATGATGACCGTCAATCCATTGCCAATTGTCAGGGGGAAAAACCCATCTGGTTCACTAATGTCCTTTAGGGAAGGAAACTGCCATCCTTACCTGGTCTAGCCTACATGTGACTTCAGACTCACAGCAATGTGGTTGACTCTGAACTGCGGGATGGGCAATAAATACTGCCTGGCCAGCGACGCCCTCATCCCGTGAATGAATAAAAAAAAACAGGATTCATGTTGTGCTCAGCCAGAGATTGGGGTCCACTGATTGAATTCAAATAACAAACCAATCAATCTCTGGGAGAAATCCACCACTTCTCGAAAATAGAACTGTACAGCAACAGGAGAAAAAGTTGGAAAATACCATCTATTTATAGCACAGAAAGAGGCCATTCAGCCCAACTGGTTCAAATGGTCCTTTAGCTCCACTAGGATCTCCTTACACTATTTCATCTCACCCTATCATCAGGTCCTTCTATTCCCTTTCTCCCTTGTGTCTATTCAGCTTCCCCTGTGCTATTTAGTGCAAGCATTCCCTCTACTGGTGAGATTCTCATCACTATCTGGGTAAAGAACTTTCCCCTGAATTCCTGATTGATTTATGGTCTCGATTACTCCAAGGCTCACCTCGCGAATCTCCCAGCTTCCTGGTTCTGGTCTTCACCACAAAAGGGAAACATTTTCGCCAAGTCTACCTGATCAAACCCCTTCATAAACATAAAGATCTGGTGTTGCCCAGTCTATTCAGTCTATCCGTATTGTTGTAACTTCTCAGTTCTACAATAATTCTTATTTCTTTAACATCTCCAGTGATCCTATATCCCTTGTGTAATCCTTTGGGAAACCTATAAAATTCTAACAGGACTAGACAGAGTAAATGCAGGAAGAATGTTCCTGATGACCAATAAGTTCAGAACCAGGGGTCACCGCAGAAGGGTGCAAGGAGAACTTTCTTCACCCACAGGGTGGTGAGCCTGTGGAATTCTCTGCTGCAGAAAGTGGATAAGGCTAAAACATTGTATGATTTCAAGAAGGACTGAGATACAGTTCTAAAGGGGTCAAAGTGTATGGGGAGAAAGCAGTATAGGGTAGCGAGTTGGATGATTAGCCATGATCACATTGAACGATGTATCAGGGGCAAAGGACCAAATGATCTACACTCCTGCTCCTATTTTTTTTATATTTCTATGTATTATAGCAACCAGAATTGTTCGCAGTGCTGTGAAGCTTGGTCTAACCAAAATTCAATACATGTTTAACACAGCTTCCACTTCTCTGCCTATCTCAACACTAACTACCTGCTCACCTCCCACTTGAGATCAAGATTATGCGAACATTACTTTCATCACTGTTTTAGTGAGTTGAGAGCCAATGTTGCTCAGTGAGCACAGGAATGATAGGTGAACAAGATTTAATGTGGCTTAGGGCAATGGCAGCAGAGTTTTGAATGAACTTAAGTTTTTTGAAGGTTGGAAGCTGGGAGACTTTCTAGGTGAGTATTGCAGTAATCGAGTTTACAAGTAACAAAACCATCTCTATAGAAGCATCTCCATTGCAAGTAGGCAGAGGCAGAGGCACCATCTGGTTTATCAGTGGCTGGTTTATCTGCCAAATACTTCACCAGAAAGCTACAAAGTTTCTCTTTCATCATCTTCCCTGCTCAGCCCCCGATTCTATGCCTTTTTCCTTATATATTACTGCAAAGTTTTAAACACCCCTGTTAGTCAACCCTTAATTTACCCCATTCTAAGGAGACCAAGCTCAGTTCTTCACATAACTAGTGCCCGTTGTCCCTTCTCCCGTTCTAGTTAATATTGCGAGTACGCTCTCCAAGTCTTTGACATACTTCCTACAACGTGATTCCTACAAATGGCCACAATACTCCAACGCAATCTAAGGTGTGATGGAGAAACTTTTAGCATACGTACATTCTCCGCCCACTGGGCCTGTGCTTCTCCATCTCCCACATACGGGGTCCAGGCATGATTACGGTAGGGCGAAGGAGAAGGGATGAAGTAGTTTGGGAATCCAGGTCTGTTGGCTGGTATGGCATAGACTGCTGGCACTGAGCTACCTGCAAATCCAAATGGAATAAAACATTCAATATTTCAGATATTCATCACAATGTAGTCATTCATCCTCAGTACATAACCACAGAGATAGGATTGTTCTGATCTTTCTCCCCGGAAAGTAGCAACTCTGGCATGATCAGAAAATTTGGCCCACTCCCCCAGGGTCTCAAGGATACTGAGGGCAGGCTTTCAAGTGGCACTGATTCTTACAACAGGATGCAGTAACTGTAGAGTGGAACTGGAGCCATGTAATATGGGCCAGAGCTAATAGCAGCAGATGAAGCCCTTCACTTAAAGAATTAGAGACCTGTTAAAGGAGATAAGAGTACGCATCTCCGATAGCATCTTAAGTGACGACCTAGAGTAATTTACAGTCAATGAAGTAATTTGCAATGTGGTCACTATTGTCATGTAGGAAATGTGGCAGGCAATTGTGAACTGCAAGGTTCCACAACAGAATAAGATGCTGATACTGGGTGGGACTGCACTCACCAAGATCAATTTTTATATATCTAGCCACGCCCAGAGTATCACTTGCAAAGGTATTGCTTTCTACTCCTGCACTTTACTGTTCCCCAAGAATCTATCTTTACGCACCTGCATCCTCCCCCATTCCTTGCTGGTCACACATGTATGGTGACAACACCCAGCTCTATCTCACTATCATCCCTCTTAGCTCCTGTACTGTTGCTAAATTATTACACTGCTTGTCTGATATCCAGTGTTGGATGGGCAGAAAATTCGTCCAGTTAAAAATTGAGAAGACTGAAGCAAATGCTGCAAATTCCATCTCCCAACCACAGATTCTATTCCTCACCGTGGCATATGTCTGAAGCTGCACCAACTTTGCTGTCACATTTGACCCGGAGAATAGCTTCCAAACACATATTATTAAGATTGTCTTCTTACACCTCCAATAATATCACCACACTCTGCCCTTTCTTCAGCTCATCTGCTGTTGAAATGCATAATCATTTCTTTCTTATTTCCAGACTGGTCCACTGGGTTGTAATTCTCCCTTGATTTTTATATCATGCAAATCTTTTATAGAATCCCAACAGTGTGGAAGCATGCCATTCGCTCCATCAAGTCTACATCAACCCTCTGAATAGCATCCCAACCAGCTAATCCACTTGCACGTCCCTGGGCATTATGGGCAATTTAGCATGGCCGATTCACCAAACCTGCACGTCTTTGGGCTGTGGGAGGAAATCAGAGCACCTAGAGGAAACCCACGCAGACACAGGGAGAATGTGCAAACTCCACACAGACAGTCGCCCGAGGCCGGAATCGAACCCAGGGCCCTGGCACTGTTAGGCAGCAGTGCTAACCACTGAGTCACCGTGCCATTCACTGTTGCTTGTTCTTGTCCCTACTTGCACCAAATTCTATTATCCTTTGCACTCTGGCCAATCTTCCCACTCGGTTAAATAATACCTCAATGTAAAAATATTCAATTTTTCTCACAGCCCTCTGGGTTTCTGCTCCTCCTTACCTCTGGATTTCCCCTGCAGGCCCATTGCTCCACCTTTGGCAGACATTCCTTCAGCCCCAATGGACTGTACACAGTGACATTCTCTCGCTAAACATCTCCGCCCTATTATCTCCTTCTCATCTCCTTTACGGCACTGCATACAAATTAGCTCTTCAACCGCACTTTTGGCAATCTGTCCTTCTCTTGCAGCAATGATTCCTTCCCACACTGAGGGGAATGGAGAAAGAGAAATCACAACACCAGGCAGTTTACTGCCTGCGAACAATAAAATCCGATCACAGCTTCCCAGGCCAGCCCAAATGGGTTGTCCCTGACTTTTTAGCTGGTGTGTGGGACCACAGCCTCTGTGTAAAATTGATTTCCGAGTGTAGGTTAAAATTCAAGGCTTATGGGGAAAGGGCAGGAAAGTGAATGTCAGGAATGCCGAATCAGTTGAGATCTTATTGAGTTGTGGAGCAGGCTAGTGGGGCCAAATGGCCTACTCCTGTTCTTATTTCTTGTCTGGTGCTCATGAGAAAGGGATGAACAGTTGGGCTTTTATTCATTGCAGTTTAGAAGAATGAGAGGCAATCTTATTGAATCATATCAGATTCTGTGGGTGCTTGACAGGGTCACTGTTGGAAGGATGTTTCATGGGGCAAGTTAAAATTAAGGGCCACAGTTTTCTCTCCTCTCAGGGGGTTATCTGACTTCAGAATTCTCTTCCACATGGAGCCTGGGGTCACTGAATACATTCAGTGTGGAATTAGGAAGATTTCTGATTGACAAGGGAGTTGAGGGTATGGGGAAACAGACAGTAAAATCAAATGAGGCATGAGTTTTTTGAATGGCAGAATTAGCTAGACGGGTCAAATAGCATACTCCTGCTCTTACTTTCAAGAAGCTTAGATCTCCAGTCTTGAACCCATGACTTTCAAACTCAGGTTAGATGGATTGGCCATAATAAATTACATGTAGTGTCCAGGGATGTGCAGGTTAGGTGGATCAGCTATGGTAAATGTGGGGTTACGGGGATAGGGTGGGGGGCTGAGTCTGGATAGAATGCTCTTCAGAAGATCAGTGCAGCCTCAATAGGCTGAATGGCCTTTTTCGGCATTGTATGATTCTATGAAATGACAGTGTACCCAGTTAGCCATGACTGATATTTAGGCTACCTGGGCAGTTCAACAGCTTTTTGTTAGATATTGTTATCTGGCACCTACAAGTGAGTAGATTTACTAAATTTAACTTTCCAAGTTGTCACCATCAGATTAAAACTGTGACTATCGGGCTGCTAGTTCAGTACAATTACAATTAAGCTGTTACTCCCAAATGATTGGCAAACAATCTTCCAGAAACATTGCACTCTGCAGAATACATAATACATCATCAGGATATTTTATTTCTGTGTTCTAACTGCTGCCTACACACACAAGACACATACAAACAGTGGCTGTTTATTCCACAGGAATCACAAGATGTAGGCTTCTCACACTAAGTTGCTGATCTGATCAAGGCAGTTAAATATTGCAATGACCTTACAGAAGTCATAGAACCCCTACAGTGTGGAAACAGGCCCTTCGGCCCAGCAAGTCCACACCGAACCTCAGAGCATCCCACCCAGACACATCCCACATAACTCACCTAATCTACACATCCCTGAACACTACGGGCAATTTAGCATGGCCAACCCACCTAACCTGCACATTTTTGGACTGTGGGAGGAAACTGGAGCACCTGGAGGAAACCCACGCAGACACAGGGAGAATGTGCAAACTCCACACAGACAGTCGCCCGAGGCTGGAATCAAACCCAGGTCCCTGGTGCTGTGAGGCAGCAGTGCTAACCACTGTGCCACCGTGCCGCCCTGATAGAATGGGGCATGGAGATATGATGTTACCCTTAAAGGTGAATCCAAAAATGTTTCCTGACACAAAGGGAATTAGAAATCTGAAACTCTTTACCCTGAAAGGCTTGGGGTCAATTGGAGACTTTAAGACATTAGATTTGTGGTCAGTAGGTGTATCAAAGGGTGTGAGGCTAAGGCAGGAGAAGTAATCGATCCAGTTGAATGGGTGAACAGCCACAAAAAGCCAAATGATTTTGTGAATGTTATATTAGAATTGAAAAAAAATCACAAAATCAATCCTCTACACAGGCTAATTCCCGTCCTGATCCAACTAAAATCATTAAGGAAATGTGGCAGTGGGTGGAAATTAGTTTGTTTTGACCACAGAACAGCCCTAACCTTGTCGTCATCACAAAACCCATACCCCTCTAACCCCAGTTGTCCTTTTTTTTCGTTTAATTCATTCATGAGAACGTGGGCTTTGTTGGCTGAGCCAGCATTCATTTCTCCATTACTCGTCACCCATGAGAACCCAGGAATTCCTCTTCTGTCAAATAGTTGGTTGCATTCTGCACATTTTTCACTAGATGGCAGGCTACACCACCAGTTGACATTTCTCCTCTGCAATCTTGAAGCAACACTGAAAACGTTTTAAAATTTGTGCTCGGATTGGTGAAAGGTCAACAGGGCATCAATTAAATGAGGATCACATGGATAATTTGAGACTTGATGGCCATTACTGGCCTTGTATTAGTACCACACCAAAACACAAAACTGAGAATCTTGCTGAAAAAGAGAGAGACGCATTGGCAAAATGTTGCACCTTGCATGCATCAAGAATGATTCTCTGATTTGCAGCCAAATGCCAAGGCAGGCAATTTTGGTGATTAACCAAGAAAGCTTGACAAATCACCAGGCAATCAGCTTGTCAAGAGCTGATTAGCGAGCGTTTTACCCTCAATAATGGAGTCCTACCATGCCAGCTGGTTGCCTCTAGGTCCTAAATTGCCTCTAGGTCCTAAAGCAGAGAACTGGTCTTCAGGAGATCACTGGCTTCCTTTTGTATCTCGCAGAGTGGGGTTTAAGGGTCGGGGCAGGGGAGGGAAGGGTTCAGGTGGGACAGAGGAAGGGCAGGGGTTGGCTAAAAGCTGCCACCTCCAATGCCTCTATCTGCGTCTCTGATTGCAAACAGATTGGGGCAAGTCGCGTCACCCATCCGTTACAAACCCAGCAGGAAGGTTACCATGGTTTCCCAGTCTGGGAACCAGTCACTTCTCTCGTCTGCCAGGAAAGGAGTTAAATCGAGGGTGGCGGGAAGAGCTGGCAAGTTATATCCTTAAATGGTTGTTAATTGACCACTTATGGGCCTTAATTGCTGGTGAGTCAATACAATTCCCAGTGGATCTTCTTACACAGCACTTAATAGTTCGGGAATAGTGGGGGAAGGGCACGTATTTCCCCAGGTCCGACTCACTAATTATTTCGCCTTCTTGTCATATCCTGGGAGGGGACAATCGCACCCTTCAGGACAAGGCTAAGAATGTCAAGTTTCAAATCATCACAACAATTTATTGCTACAGTAGATCCAGGGAGCAATTGGTTGGATTATACGCGTGTTGCTTCTAGGAAGTACAAATGAGCCATGTTATCAGCTCAACTCATGAATTCACATGGAGCTCACTCTCCACAAACAAAAGGAATATGTTCTGACCTTTCCTGAGAACTTAGGGAGCCTGGAGGTCCCCATTGCTTCCTTCATGGCAATGCCTTGGTCAATCAGAGTCAACTTCGCAATTAATCAGCACCCTTTTCGCCTGTTTTATGATCATTTGAAACTTGGCATTCTTGTGCCTGTCCTTATAAAGTGCAAAATAAAATGCCTCACCAATGGGTCTCTCTCTTCAGCAACATTCAAGTTCGATATAAACAGACTGCTCCACTGGATCTTGTCATGCACAAACCCACTGGCACATTGCTTACACAACAGTAACTACACTTTGAAAGTACTTTGTTGGCTATAAAATGCTCTTAATTTCTGGTATTGTGAAATGTGCCACAGAAATGAAGTCTTCCATTTTATGTGTAGCATACTTGCAAGGAATAGGTGACTTTGGACATATGATTTCCTTGATCCATGCCAATAAAACATTGCAAGATCTGCTGATCTCTCAAAAAGATAACACTCTCTCGAGGCATCATCTAGGTTATAAATGCATGCCTTTAGTTTCCATCATTTCCCTTCTGCAGCTTTCCTTTTTAGGCAGTTTCAGATAAACTTCTCACTAAAATCTATCACCCTGCAGAAACACAGCCTTGTGTGTCAATTGATCAACATCCCCATGAATGTGTGGCCAAAAGCGCTAAAAACGCCTCTCTTATAGGAGATTTCGCTCTTAACCTCCATATTGCTTCATCACTCTGAACAACTGCATTACTGTATTGCTCTGGGTACCGTTGGCAAGGAGCTTTGCCACACAAATCTATTTGAAAAGTCTAACTCGTACTTCCATATAAACTCCAAATCCCTTCCAACGGTCTAATTCCTTTTGTTCTGATTTTTATTACTTTCCTTCTAGCTTATTGGCAGCCACCAAAATTGTCATTAGGATTCTACTTCTAGATCTATCTTGCGAGTGTTCTGTAGCCCTCATTTTATTGTGTGACCTATTCAAGCCTTAGCCTTTACTTACATGTTGATATCTTTCAGCTCTATAACTGATCTCTCTCTTTCTCTCTCTCTCTCCCTCTCTTGTGGTCAGAGACTCTGCAGCACGTGATCATTTGATCATTGAAGTAACTTTAAATCTTTCACTGCCTTTCAAACGTTAGCTCCCCGAAAGGATAGCATGAGATAGAATCACAGGAATACGATGAGACCATTCAGTTCCTCAAGTCTATTCTGACACTGAATTAGTTTATGTCTGGCCTGTGTCTTAATTTTTTTTTTCTTTCCTTGCTTCTGTATCCTTAAATATTTTTGCCTTACAAAATGTTAACAGACTCATATTTTAAATTTCAATTGACAGGCCTGGCCTCAGCATTACTTTGGGGGAGTTCCACATTTCCACTAATGTACAGGTGGAAAGGTGCTTTCTGATAGCACTCCTGAATGGCTTAGCTCCAAGTTTAAGGTTACACTGATTTATGTGAATCCATTAACTTGAGGGAATTGTTTCTAGCTGTCTCAACAATTTTTTTTTGGTATCATTAAACATCTCAATTAAATAACTCCATAACCTTCCAAACTCAAGGGAATACAAGTCTAGTCTACACAACCAGTCCTGATGATACGAAAGTGGGAATATTTAGAGGTAATGTTTCACAATATTACAGGCATCTTGGGCAGAGAAGTTAAACCATTTGCTGTAAATTGGATACCAGGGTTGTTAGAATAGCAGCCAGGGAAAGGTATGTACCAAGGCAAGAAACAGAGCTTGGGACTGTGTCCAGATCCTGAACCTACCCCTGTGGGAAGTAAGGGCAGGGGGGAGAATAATCTCAGTGGGGATTTCCATGTGGCATTGCCTTTACTGACTCGAAGACAGATTTCTCACCTGACTAATGACTGCAAGCAGACTTGCCTTGAATGACCAATCAGAACCCTTCCAATCCGGAAGCAGCAGCAGGGAAGTTTGTTTGGGAAAGGGAGATTTAATGGACAGTCACCACCACTGAACGGCCTCTGGATACTCCTTTACACAAACAAGTACAGAGAGAAGAGCTCACTTCCAAGGACCCAAACTGTTCCCCTTCAATGCAGGAAGCTGGAGGCTGACCAGTAAATTCCAGTGTTAATCAGACTCAGTTGGATTTCTAATGAACCTGACTGGATACCCACCACATGCGAGAGAAGTAACAGGGATAGACTGGGACTTGCTCATATGGCCTGGAGGTGGGATTGAGCAAGGGAATCGGCACGTTGGCTGGAAGGACTAATCTGAAGATCTGCCTGCTCCGATCTCAAACACTGGGCCGTAAAAATACAAGCCCAATTATCTTTTTTATTGCACAGCAGGAGCTGCCTGATTTCTGCAGCTAACTGTCTACCTTCAAAACTCAGTCTGAGCTCTAGAGGGCAGCACACTCTGAAATCTTCAAAAGGTCCAAGATAAAAATGCACATAAATTGAACTCCTTTTAACACTTACAATTCTGAGTTCAATGGTGCCCTTATCAAGATGTTAGGCTCCCAGACATGGTGTTACTGTGTGACCTCTCTTCATCTATTCTTTCATAAGATGGGCAACAGGCCCCCAGGCTGTTCTGTAGAAAGGTCACTAGACCCGAAACGTCAACTCTGATTCCTCTCCAGAGATGCTGCCAGACACGCTGAGTTTTTCCAGCAAGTTCCGTTTTCATTTCTCATCCGCAGTTCTTTCGGGTTTATTTTAACCATTAAACTGAGTAGCTTGTTCGGTCTGTTCAATAGGCCAGATAGGATTCACCATGCAGGTGTGGGCCTGGAGTTACATTCTAGGCCAAACCAGGCTAAGATCTTCTTTCCAAAAGTATGTCAGCCAATCAGATGGGTTTTTGTAACAATGGTTACACGATCACCATTAAACTAGCTTTTAATTCCAGATTTTATAAAGTTCACCAGCTAACACAGTGGGGTAAAACCCATGACCCACAGCATTAGTCTAGACCTCTGGATTACAAGTCCAATGACAATACCACTACAATGCCTCCTCCCCTCAACTCAGAAACTCTACAGTGGACAAAATCTCAGCAGCTTCACACAGTCACTATCATCTTTAACTATGGCTCAATTTTAAACACTTCATGTAGATGAGTTATGAATGAGCTAAAATCTCTGTGCCTCTCTGTCAGATCCTAACCCTGCTTGTCCATTTATATCTGCGATTGGAGAAGTGACAGAGCTAAGCAAGACATTCTTTTCCCCTTTCCAAATGGTACCTGAGGCCTCTTCTGGAATACCATGTCCACTTCTGGTCACCCAGTTATAGGAAAGATATTATTAAGCTGAACAGGGTACGGAAGAAATTTACCAGGATGTTGCCGGGTCTGGGAGGTTTGAGTTATAAAGAAAGGCTGGATAAGGTGGAACTTTTCTCACTGGAGCGTAGGAGGTTTAGAGGTGATCTGATAGAAGTCTATACAATAATGAGAGGGGTAGATAGAGTTAATGGTAGTTGTCTTTTCCCTAGAATGGGGGAGTTCAAGACTAGAGGGCACATTTTTAAGGAGAGAGGGGAGAGATTTAAAAAAGGCATGAAGCAAATTTTTTACAGAGGGTGGTTCACGTGTGGAATGATTTTCCTGAAGAAATGGTGGATGTGAGTAAAATTACAGTGTTTAAAAGACATTTGGATAGAAAGATGAATAGGAAATGTTTGGAGGGATATGGGCCATCAGCAGGCAGGTGGGACTAGTTTAGTTTGGGATTATGTTCGGCAAGTACCGGTTGGACCAAAGGGTCTGTTTCTATGCTATATGATTCTGTAACTCTTTAATTGGTTAGTCAGGCATGGATCATTCTTAGCACTTTTCCTTTGAGTCTCATTTCAGAAATTGAGCAAAAAAAGAACAGATAGACTGATGTTCCCAGTGCGGTGCTGGATTGTCAAGTATGTGAGGTTTTAGATGAGGCATTAAAGTGAGACCTATCGGCCCTCTCAACAGCAAGGGTATTTTCCGCATCGTCCTGGCCAATAATTAGCTCCAAATCAACAACTCAAAAGACAAGTATCCGGTTATTAACTCACTATTGTTTAGGGGATGTTGTTTTGCAGAAATTAGCTGTCATGTTTCCTACATTGCAACAGCTCCAGCACTTCATTGGGTGTGAAGTTCTTCGACCCACTACGAAAAGAGTTACATAAATATCATTTATTTAAAACCACATCCCGGGATGTGACTGAAAGTCTCCGCTTGCCTGATCAGTGCAGCTCCGTTAATGTCCAAATAGCTTCATACCATCCTTCAGACGGCTAACAAGACTGTACCTCAATCTAAGAGTCATACTGGACTTGAAAAATTAATTGTTTTTTGCTCTCCCCAGATGTTGCCAGACCTGCAGAGTTTCTTCAACATTTCTGCTGCTTGTTTCAGATTTACACCATCCGCAGTATTTTGCGTTTATCTCCTCAAGCTATCATTCAAAGGCCTTACCTGAGTAATTTACGATTGGCTGATCGGCAGGGACAGTGGATCTGGACACGGGTACATAGGAAGCTTCATGTTGTGACTGGTCTGCACCATGGCTCTCAGCTGTTCTTGCGTTATTGTTATTTTCTGATGTCCAACTACATCAGAAACAGAACAAGTTGGATTGCTTTTTTTTTAAGAAAAGATGCTTCTTCACCTTTTATAAATGTCACATTTCGAGTCAAACCTGGGAAGCTGCATTTCCCAAAGTTAACAATCCCTTAATAATTACTAAACTGAGATCATCTCTAACATCACTGAGCAACTGTTCCACCAATACTCTCCAAGTTTGTATTCTCCATTTTCTCCTTTCTTTTAGTTCCATTGACCCTCCTCTTGCACCACTCACTATTTTTCAGATTCAATTAACATTAGGGGTTTTGATATAACAAATAAGTAGGATCTGTTCCCACTGGCAGGAGAGTCAGTAACCAGTGGACACAGTTTTAAAGGATCTCTTAAGGAGCTAACATAAACATGATGAGCCAAGGGGCCACCATTTATGCTGTCAAAGTTAATGATTCTTTCTCTCTTTTTCCTGAGAATAAACTTCAACGAAAGCAAATTGAAGAGAAAGGAGCATAAACAGGACTACGGCTGTGAGTTGAGTTCAGTTAGATTGCTTGTCTTTATAACAGTAATATGTCTATCTTGCATAAGATTTCTCACTTTGAAGCTAGATTAACACAGTGGCAACCTCACAGGCATGCTAACGGGAGAATGAATACACCCAGAGCTGCAGTCCAATTCTTGCTGCACTAAAGATAGTTGTTAATTGTCTGTAAATGGAGCCATAGTTTATCCTGTAAAGGCTCTCAGCTCGTGGGTCAAAGATTGAGCAGGTGGTTCTTCAATAGAGATCACTCATCCAACCTGCCGGCCTGCAGTTTTACATTGGGACAGATAATTTAGGTGGTGTTTGTATCAAGGGAATTATAGGTAAAAGGGAGGAGAAGGGTCAGAGGAAGGGTGTCTCAGAGACAAAATAACAACAAACAACTTGTATTTTTATATTGGAAAAGTGAATCCCAAGCCAATGGAAAGATGGATGACAGTCATTTTGGTAAAAGCCTTTGGGTTTTTCTAGATGAAAGCACCAGACAGTGGTAAGGAGAAGGAACCCTGGCTAATATTCTATTCTTTCACCATGAAGTACAAAGTCCAATTGTATTTCTCCCACTCCAACCACACCAACACACACCCATTGCCCCAAGACATTGATGCATGACCATCAATTGTAAATGAGGTGCCCTGGTAAATGAAATGCCAGTATATGCAGGTACAGCAAGTGATTAGGAGGCAAATGAAATATTGCCTTTTACTGTAAAGGGGTAGACAGCAAAGTGGAGACCGCAGTCACATCAGTCACATGCTTCTGGTTTGTCGGGCTGAATGGTCTACTCCTGTTCCTAGCATGGCATGCTTCAAGTAATCCCAGTTAAGACGGAGGCTGAGATCTTTGAGCCTTCATGGCACATGTTATATTCCTACATAATGTAACTCAGAGTCTTTCCTTATTGAACAAAAAGGTGCCACATATATGTTGTTTGTTCATAAAGCTCTCAATACTTTACCGTCTGAGGGATGCAACTGCTACTGGAGCATTTCTGGGAGGAACAGGTGGTGGCGACCCGACAGACATTTCCGGAAGCTGCGAATACCTATACGCCTAGAAAGAGTTCAGAATGAACTTGTCAGTAAGACAGTTTTTACACAATACCCAAACTAGCCCAAAGCATCTTCCTCGTTCCTTCACCTTACATTCATTAAATTCTTATCAATTTCTAATTCCATTCACAACCTCTTTGCTTGGAACACATGAGCAGCAGGAGGCCATTCAGCCCCTTGAGCCTATTCTGCTGTTCACATGATCGATGGATCTGCACCTTAAATCCACTTATGGCCTCTATGCTTTCATTTAGTAAAGACTGTAGATATAAGTCTTGAAAATTTCCAATGATGATCAGCATTCACAATCATTTAGGGAAGAAAATTCCACATTTCCTCTAACCACTGTGTTTCCTATTTTTACATTGAAACAAACTAGCTCCCCTTGTTCTGGAAATTGCTTCTCTGTCTCTACCCTTTTGAATCCATTTGTCATTTCAAATTCCTCGATTTGGCCATCAGTCAACCTTCTAAAAGTCAAGAGGAATACAACCCATCCTCACATGTGACAATAACAGCTTCACGCTGCACAGAACAACGGTTGTGGCATGGGGTCAAATAATTTTGCAACTATAGTCTTTTTTATCAGCAACTGGTTGATGAGTGAATTTGTCTATTTAAAGTGAAAAGATAGTTTTTTGCATGTACTGAATCAATGAGGTAATTAGATGTATCGGCAATTTCTGGCACATTTCTTTCCATAATACTTAATTTTACATTAACTATAGTGAAATAAAACATTAGAAGCTAACTTTGGAAACATGATTTCTTGATGTTTTAAAACTTTCCCGTAATACAATGCGGAGATGCTGGGAAGTGCTTTAGCACCCCGTCACCCCACCCCACTAGAGGGAAGGTGCAGGAATTTATAATGGCAGTCTAGGCCAGTGTAAAACTTTTCATATGTTACATAGATTTGGCAGTCATAAATAGGAAAAAGCTTTCAAGTCCAAACAGGGCTTTCAAAAAGTTTCAGTGTTATGCACCCCCTTAAAAAGTGGATATATTTTCAAAGCCTACTGATTTTTAAAAATAAAATCACTTAGCAAAAGCTGTACTGTTATTCCAAGAAATATTGTTAAATACAAGTGCCAGTAAGACAGGGAAAACTGAAATATAAAATTTCAACGTTGTTTCCAAATCCATCCATGCCCTTGCCCCTCCCTATCCACGTAGCCTCCTGGATATGTATTTTCTGTTAATTCTAGCCTCTTGCATGTCGCCGATTTTCAATCTAGATTTTTAATCTAATTTAAGGTGCAACTTCACTTAGCTAGCCCCTAAGGTTTGGAATTCCCTCTTTAAACCTCTATGATGTGGGTTTTACCTCCATCAAAGTATAGTACCTGATGTGGCAATGTTTACGTGCAACAGAAGAAACTAGCTGTGGATAACGTGGCACTGAAAGATCCAGTAAATCTTTATTACAGCTAGCTATTGTACAAAATAAATTAAATTCAATGCCACAGTAATATCTTGGCTAGCACTCAGCATTTATTGAAACACAAGAAATTCACTTCCAGTAGCATGGCATGCTTCAAGTAATCCCAGTTAAGACGGAGGCTGAGATCTTTAAGTCTTCATGGCACATGTTATTATGATGTCTGGAGCATGTCCCTTAAAGGAATGCTGATCTACTGACTATGAGACGGAAAACAACATTCTGCACCTCGCTCATCTCAAAATTTTACCTTAAAACTTAACCTCATTGATGAAGCTTAAGGCATTAGTAGGGCAGATGGCCTCATTTGCTCAAACTTTTTGTGCTTTAAAACTCTGAAGCATCTTGGAACAATTTTAATATTCAAAGGCACTATGTATAGACAAATAGCAGTATCTGCCTGCCTCACAAGACTCCTATAAGATATAAGGTCCACCTCTCAAACCCTAAGTCTGAGGTGTTCACTGTTTACTTGCATTGTGTTGATGAGATGGATCATTGAAAAAAAACTATTTAATTATTTACCAATTCTCATGGGAGCAAAGTCTATAATATTTTCTTTTGCTCATTTACACTGCGAAAATCAATGAAGGTAAAAGCTGGTTTAATGATTACTTTTCAGCCCTTCAATCTACACACTATTGTGATTCTAAACTTAAGGTCTGCAGTCTCCTGGAATCAATACCTTAACCAGAAACAGGAGGTTACTTGACCCCTCAAGCCTATTTTACTATTCCTTTTTATCATGGGTTGATCTGTATCGCAACTCCATATATGTAGTTTAGATTTTTTATCCTTAATATCTTTACCTGACAAAGACTATCATTCCCAGTTTTGAAATTTTTAGATGCCTTAAAGGCTTATGGAGGTAGAAAGGTCCAGAATTTCAATTGCTTTGTGTGAGGAGGTGCTTTCTGACTTAACCCGGAATGACCTGACTCTAATTTGAAGGTTTTAACCTTCTTTTAACACAAAAATGCATCCTAAGGTTGCAGTTTTTGACCCCATTAGGACGAATATCCTGCCTCCTAGAGGAGTTGACTAATCAGCAGTTCTTCAGTCTCAGTAACATCACTAGGTGCAGTAATCACTGCTGAAGCTGGTGACAAAAGCAGGTTAAGCAGCTCTACCTGAGTAATCAGTGTAAGCTTGGCAAGATGTGGGTATTGGTAATCAGCAGGCCGGGGTAGGGGCAATCAAAAAGGATGTCCCTTTCTGCTTGGGGAAAGGGTTGCGGGGGAGGGGCCCTTCAAGGTACAAGGTATCACAACAGGAAGGATTCCTTGACTCTCTGACAAACCAAGCTCACTCCTTTGGATTTAGCTGGTGGCTTTGTTAGATTACACAGGCTTTCCACACCACTTGAAAAATACCAAGAGCAGCAAGAGGAGGCCCTTAAGTGGGTATTAACCAGTCACATAAAAATCCAAGGGCCTACTGGTAGTCCAACTACGTTCAGTGGAGCAGGTAGTCAATAAGTAAAGTGCACACTGCTCACCCACCCAGTTTTACATCTGCTTTACACCCCACTTGCACTCTGGGCGAATAAAATTTCAACTTTTTAATCAGTTTGAACACCTTAATTATATCATGTTCTGATCTTCTCTATTCAAGGGAAGACAAGCCTAGTCAATGGAACTTGTCCTCTTAACCATTTCTGGGCCAGCATTAATTCTTCTTTAGAATGTTAAGGGGTGATGTGACTGAGGCCTTTGATAGGGTGAACCCTTTAATGTCAGTGATGGGAGTTCACTTTAAAATCAGAGTCAGACAACTCAGAGAGAAGTTAGCAGCACCTAGAGGTGTGGGTGAGAGAAAGATCCTGTGACATGCAGTCAGCAGCACCCAGAGGAGGGGGCAAAGTGAGGACCCTGAGATAGACGGTCAGAGATGGAGGCAGATTGTTTGGAATTGGTTCTTCCTTACTAGGAAGAAAGCAACTAACTTTTTGGTGAGTCTCTGGTATGTTAAGGTTTTTTTTCTATTCCTAAGTCTTAAAATAATATACAAATTCATGATAAAGTTAATAAGATAAATGAAAATTAATGCAAGGAAGTGAAAAACATAATTAAATACTTAATTAAAATGCATTAAGTATGACCGCACTGGTGATGTCTCACAGTTGCAGCATATGGAAGTTCCTGGTTGCTAGTCTGGTCCAGAGCAAACACATTTGCAACAAGTGCTGGACATTTCAAATGCTTTAACTCTGGGTTTATGAACTGGAGGTGGAACTAGAGACACTGCAACGCATTGGGAGGAGAGGGAAGATTATCTGGATTCTTTGTACCTCTTAGGTTTGGGTCATTTGATTTGGTCAGTGTTCAAGGACAGGAGATTGTGATTGTGAATGAGGTAGGTAAGGGCATCGAGAGGCTTTATGGGGAGGACCTTCAGCCTTTGAAACTGTCCAATAGTTTGAGGTTCATTCAGCTTGCCTGGATGACAGTGAGGGCTGCACGGTGGACGAGGCTAACTGGCCATGGTACCATGCTGCAGAAAATTATTCAAGAAAGGGTAGTAAAGGGTCAGTCAACGGAGATGATGTGGCAAACATTTAAAGGAGTGTTTTAGAATACACAAGATTAGATACATTCTAGTGAACAAAGAAATTCTAAGATAAAGTCTCCAACATGAGTGGTTAATCACAAGCGTTTAAGATAGTACCAACAGGAAAATTGTGGAAAATAATTGTGGAAAAACAGGTGACAAATCAAAACATTGGATGAGATATATGGATATTAAAAAAAAGGAACTGCCAAAAGTAGAGAATATAAGTAACATCCCAGATGTAGTAATAAATCAAACGCTGGAAGCGAGTGAGGATCAAAATCAACAAAGAAGTGGTAATGAGTAAATTGTTGGAGCTCTGGGCTGACAAGTGTCGAGCCCAGGTTCTGATAGACTTCATCCTTCGAACTCAAGTGAAGTGGCTAGTGAGATACATTGCCTTTAGTTTTCCAAACCTCTGTTGATTCAGGGACAGTCCCATCAGATTGGAAGATTGTGAATGTATTTTTTTTAACTCAAAAAGGGAGGAGACAGAAAGCAGGAATCTACATGCAAGTTAGTAGAACATCTGTCATACAGAAATTTGAGAAACTATTGTTAGTGATGTTACAGCATGACATTTAGATAAGTTCAAGGTAATCAGGCACAGTCAACATGATTTTGTGTAAGGAAATTCTTTTTGACCAATATATTTAGAGGTCTTTGAGGAGATAACATGTATTATGGTTAAAGAGGAACTGGTTGATGCGCTATACTTAGATTGTCAGAAGGCACTGACAAGATACCACATCAAAGATTATTGCAGAAAATAAAAGCTCATAATGAAGGGGGTACACTATTGAAATGGATAGAAGATTCGCCTGGGAACAGGAAGCAAGGAGCGGGCATAAATGGGTCTTTTTCAGTTTGACAAGATGTAACAAGTGGTATGCCACATGGATCAGTGCTGGGGCCTCAAGTTTTTACAATTTACATAACAATTTAGATGAAGAAACCAAGGGTATGGCTGTCAAATTTCCTGATGACACAGCGACATGAAAGTAAGTTGTGAAGAGGTAATAAAGAGACTACAACAAGTGAGTGGGCAAAGATAATGTGGTAAAATGAGAAACTTCCATTTTGACAGGAAGAATAATTTTTTAATCTCAATGTAAGAGACTGCAAAGCTCTGACGTACAGAGGAAATTGAATGTCCTTGTGCATGAATCTCAAAAGCTTGGCACGCAGGTACAGCAAGTATTAGGAAAGTTACCATTTATCATGAGGCGAGTTGAATACAAAAGTATGCTTCAGTTATTCGGGGCACTGGTGAAACCACCACTCTACTGTGTAGAGTATCGGTCATCTTATTTATGAAAGGCTGTAAATGCATTGGCTGCTGCTCACCTGGAATGGGGGAATGGGGTGTGTTGTCATATGAGGGAAGGTTGGACAGGCTACGCTTGTATTTGCTGTTGTTTACAAGAGTAAGGGATGACTTGGTTGAAACATAACAAGACCCTGGAGGGGTCTTGACAGGATAGAGATGGAGAGGATGTTACCACTTCTGGGAGAATCTAGAACCAACATCATTATTTCAAAATCAGAGGTCACCCATTTAAAAGAGAGGCAATTTTGTCTTTTCTCAGAGGATCGTAAGTCTCTGGAAATCTCTTCTTGAAAAGGTGGTGGAAGCAGAATCCTTGAATATTTTTAAGGCAAATGAATTCTTGTTAAGCAAGCAGTTGAGATGTTATCAAGGTATAAGGGAATGTGGCTTTGAGATTACAAACAGTGCAGCCACGACCTAGTTTAATGGTGCAGCAGGCTCGTGGGGCAGAATGACCTACCCTTTCTCCTAATTCATATTTTTACATGTAATTCTTCACACACAGGATGGGAGAGGTTTGAACTTCATCCTACAAAAAGCAGTTAATCTAGCTCACTTAGTGAATTTACATCTCAAGGTTTTCACTTGAGAAGGATATAAAACAGTGTGGAACCGAAGGTAGGTGGACGTAGTTAAAATACAGATCAACTGTGGCCTCTCAGAGCGATGGAATAGGATTGAAGGGCTGAATGGTCTCATGTTCCATTGTTGCTATGTTCCATAACGTCGTACATGAGCTGGAAGAAGTAATACTTACGGGTCTGGGCAAACTATACTGACACACGTCCTGCCCGTACGCAGGAACCCACTGGAGTCCAGCCCTAGATCTGCTCATGGTGCCGGGGGCACTGGTCACCAGCTCAGTATAGGGTAATGGCTGACCCGTCGTGTAGTGCAGCTGGTGACGGCCGTGAGCGACCCGTCCTGCAGACGCCAGGCTAAACGCTTCCTCCAAGAGCTGGTGCATGTGTTGTCTGACCTCATCGATGGATGGCTGGGAGCTGAGGGTGGAGGATTCCGAGTGACCTTTGGCCTGTCTTGCTCGGGTGGCAGTCCTAGGCTCCGCAATTCGGTCAATGTTTGTTTCTTCTGTCAACTCTGGCTCCGTCTTTAAAAACAAAGTAAAGCAACACAATAGTCAGGAAGGAAAAGCACAACTCAGTTAAATAAAGACCGATATTGTTATAGTGCCTTCCATGACCACAGATAGGTCAGGGAGAGTTCCAGTCAATGAACCATGTTTATTGGAGTTATGTTGTGGAAATGGAGTCACTAATTTACACACTGTGGGACCCACAAACAGCAATGGCAAGCTCATCTAACTATGTGACATTGGTTGGAGTTTCAATATTGGCCAAGACACAGGGGAGAATTTATCTTCTCTTTGAAATAGTAGCATTGGATCTTTTACATCCATCTGAGAGGGAAGACTGGGTCTCGTTTTAACATCTTTGTCAAATACCAACTCCAACAATGCAGTATTTTCTCTGCACTGCACTGGAACCTCCACTTTGACTTTTGTGCTCAAATCCTGAGAGTAGGACTTGAATCTAGAACGTTGTGACTCCCAGCCAAGCATTTTACCAACTGAGCCACAGTGACACAGTAAGTACTGAATGTGGAAAACACTGCAGTTAATTTTTGCTAAGCCAAAAGACAAAGTGATGCTGCACAAATAATCTATTTTAGTAATGTTGATTGAGGCATAAATGTGTCAAAGGAGAAGCAAAAGAAAACATAATTTGTAGTGCTGAGGAATGAAATGAGACATTAAAATGATATGCAATTCTTGTTTCATACATACATTAAAGATTTGTCAACACTATTTGAAGTATTACTGGGAATTCTCCCAATGTCTTGGCTGACAGGATGCCTTCAATCAATGACTTAACTGATTGCTCATCTCCTTGCACTTTACTGAATCTTGTACTATACTAAGTAGTGTGACGATATTGTGGCTTTAAGAGGTGTGTTTTATCCTGGTTTCTTTTAGAGAGAGAAAGACTGGGGGACAGGCACCGAGCAGTCTATGAGAAGGTAAACAAAATGTTAAGCCTAAGGTTTTTTTTTCAAAAAGCTGGAACAATAGAAGCAGCCTGAGTGGGTGTCATCAAGCTCCCACCCACAGAACCAGGGATTTTAGGTTTAGCTTTTAGCAGTTGCTGTTGGGATCTTGAAGAGGTGGAAGCTACTTTTCCCTCTCTTGATTACAGCCAAAAGCTGGGGATTCCCTTCCTGGTCTATTGGATTGCCTATGAGACAAATCTGTTTTCTGAATTTGCCTTCTGCCAAGGGTGTATTTATGGGATGTTACTATATTGGAACAGTTACTGTTTGGTAGTAAAATAATCTGTTATTCTGTTAAATTTTCCAGAAGAGTTAAGTTATTCCAAGTTCCTCTTTCTTTTGCTTTTTTTTAATCATAGCGTTTGAATAAATTGTGTTTTGCGTAATGTTGTGTGGGTTGACCAACTGAATTGCAACTGGAACACAGTACCTCACATTTACCTTTAAATTAAAAAAAAAGTTCGGGTCTAGACCACCTTCTTTATATAGTTTGAGGGATCTGGTCTGGTCCACAACAATAGTTTTCATATTTGTCAATATAGCAAAAGTTGATTACCATTTAAAGTATTTCACTACATGTGAGATGTTTAGTGACATACGAGACAATTTAAAACATACACTTGTATGAAGTAGATCCGTCTTTCAAAGAGAATTCTTTTCACATTTTTCACAGATAACAACTCAAATCATCGCAAAACAATTAAAAATCTATGCACATAGTCTCTGCCTCGATAACCTGAATCATTCCGCATAATATTTTTTTAATTGGTCACAGGGCTAGTTTATATTTCACACTTCATGAAGCACTGACTTGCTGTGAATTTTACATACACACATCATAGCAGTTCTGCACTTGAATGATGTTAGCTGAGATAATCCAATAGCTTCACGGTTACTTTTATTGAAGCCAGCTTTTCATTTCCAGAATTCTTAAAGTTAATTGCAATATCTGTAACTGTCAGGTGGAATTTAATCTCATATTCTCTGTGATATTTGTCCAGTAACAAACTTATTACTCTTTGAGAAGTAATCAAATCTGAAAAAAGTATCATACCAATATGTTGTCTTTAGAAAAGCAGAACAACTTACAAATTTTCTTGTAACTGGATGTGATAATTCACCCATAAACATTTCTAGCACCTTTAACATATTAAAAGGGAAGTTATCAAACACTATTTGCTATTCAGCCACATAAGAAATCATTATGACTAAACTTGAAGAAAGTGTCAGGTTTAAAGAAGCAGAAAGAAAAAGGAAGGGAGGTTTAGAGAGGAATTCCAGAGCTTAGAATGTAGTCTGTTAGAGACGCATCTGTCAATGGCACAATGTTTAAAGTTGGGGACATTCAAGAGACCAGAATTTGAGGAATGTAGATATCTCAGAGAATCCTAAGTCTGGAGGAGAATACAGAGATAGGGACTTGAAAATAATAAGAAGAACCTTAAGTCTAAGAAGTTGCCTCACCAGGATGCAACATGGGTCAGTGAGAACTGAGTGAAGGGCAAACAAAACGTACATGAGTTAAGATACAAGAAGGAAGATATTGAGTGGCTTAATACTTAACGGAAAATTCAAAAAGAATGCTAGAGCAACACTGTAGGTCTTGCACCATCTGTGGAGACATGAAACCTGGAGAAAAGTCATACCAGACTTGAAACGTTACTCATGTTTCTCTCTCCACAAATGTTGCCAGGCCTGCTGAGTTTCTGCAGCTTTCTCTGTGATTATTTCAGCTTTCTAGGATCCAAAGTATTTTGCTTTCATTTGTGCTTATGGGGGTTAGAGATGTGAGGGCAATCAGAGTGCTTTGGGCTAATAACATCGAGAGACAATGAAGCTACGCATAGGATTTCAGCAACAGATAAGCGGAGGCTGGACAGAGGTGAGTGATAATACCAAGAAAGGTGGCCTTGGTGACAGAACAATCATGTGATTCAAAGCCGAACTTGGGGTCAATTATGATACCAAGGCTGTAATGATACAATAGTCCAAGCAAAAAAAATGAATATTATACCTGAGATAGTAGGAACTGCAGATGCTGGAGAATCCGAGACAACAAGGTGCAGAGCTGGATGAACACAGCAGGCCAAGCAGCATCATAGGAGTAGAAAGGCTGACGTTTCGGGCCTAGACCCTTCATCAGAAACAAACCCGAAACGTCAGCCTTTCTGCTCCTATGATGCTGCTTGTGAATATTATACCTATTTTGTTTAAAGCTCCCCTTCAGCATATTAAATGATTGTTACTTGCATTGCATAATATCAAACAATAATGTAATTAATAGCAAAACAGAATGTGGACATTTTCACATTGTTTAAATCCAATATCGCCAACTTTGCACTTACATAATTACATCCCAAACCAGCTCACTTTTTCAGACATAATGAACGATTGAAAAGTGGCAGAAGGTCAAAACATGATATATGAAAGAGAGATTGAAGTATAGGTTTTGAGGAAAACTTTGAAGGTGGAAGGAGAGACAACAAAGCAGAAGAGTTTAGGAAAAGTATGAAGTCAGAATGACTGATGATTCAGTGGCCAGAACTAAATGAAAGATGAAATGAAGGCCAGAACTGGAAATATAGAAATCACTAACAGACACATGGAGCTGCATGTGTTTTCAGGCATGCTTCTACATTAAAAGGCACTGATTAGTTTTTTTTCAATTAGCTCAACAATATTTCTCAACGTGTGTCTTTACAGTATGTGAAAACAAGATTTCGAACAGAGTTATGTGGGACATGGATGAATCATAACTTAAGACATCTGCTATTCAATCATTTATTGTGATGGAAAATGAAAACAAAAAGCCATGCAGTTTGCAGCAGTGTTTCCCACATTTTGTTTAAGCTTTTAAACATGGTATTATAGAAACCATTGTTAACAATAATCAACGTTGAACACATCAGTAAAACATCTTTCTATCCATTATTTTAAAGGAGGCATCATTGAATTAACAGAAACCATATTTATAAGCTTAAGTTCTTATGGGCCATAATATCAGTGGACAACAGTTCAGCTGAATGGCCTGTTTCTGTGCTGTAAATTCCATGTAGCCATAGAGTCAGACAGCATAGAAACAGACCCTTTGGTCCAACTCGTCTGTGCTGACCAAACATCCCAATCTAACCTAGTCCCATTTACCAGCATTTGGCCCATATCCTTCTAAACCCTTCCCATTCATGAAGCCATCCAGATGTTGTTTTTAGATGTTGTAATTATTCACGCAGCTTGTAATTATCCTCCAGCAGCTTGTTCCATACATTCACCACCCTCTGCATGAAAAGGTTACCCCACTAAAATAGCAGTTAGAGAGAAAAGTATGAAGGTTTGGTCACTATTATGGGAATTAATAATTTAAGCCCTTCCTCTGCTTTCAATCCTGTCAAAAATAGCTTAATTTACTTGCACTGAATTAGAAATTTCTAACACAATAGTCAGTGAAGGAGAACATTTACAACAACTAGTTGAATTTGAAGTGCTCAGATAGTTGTACCTGACAGATTCTTAATCTCTTATTGATTGATGTCAGTCCAACAATTCCTTCATAGTTGTTTGCCTATTCCACCACAGAGAGAAGATACCCCATAGTTTTAGCATAGCAACAAACTAACATCCATGATGCGTGCACAAACAAACAGCTAATAAATGGTCTGGACTGTAACTGGGTGCTCCAAGTCTCCCATAAACAACAACTTATATTTATACAGCACTTTAATGGAGGAAAATGTTTCAAATCACTTGGCGGGAGAGTTTAACATATAAAATGTGATACCAAGCCAAAGAATGATGGGATAAGTAAAATCTGGATCCAAGAGGAAAGAGAGGTTGAGATGAGATGATGTTTAGGAAGCAAATTACAGAAGTTGTGATTTAGGCAGCAGAAGACAGACCCATTAAATCACAGAATCACAGAACCTCCATAGTGCAGAAGGAGGCCATTCAGGCTGTCAGTCCACATCAACCCTCAGAAGAGCATCCCAACCAGACCCAGCAGCCTACAATATCTAGAACTAACAGCATAGCTAAATATTTCATGAG